GTACCATTATGTGTCAAGCCCACTGTGGCTTTGATAGATAGAAAAATACAGTGATATAATTCAAGATAGAGGAGACTGGTTATTTGCATAGTCCAAGAATTCTCCATCAGTAGGGCATGTCTTCATGCACGTCTTATCAAGATTTTAGGGAAGCTGTATGTAGTTTTAAAAAATTAGTCAAATGTTATATTTTTACCTGGAAAGCCAAGAATAATTAATATACCTATTGCTTTCTTAATATGCAGTCTGCTTTCTCATTCTGTGACATATCATAGTGCTATGGTGTAGATTCATTTCAGATTTAAAATGTATGGAAGTTATCATAGTGCACTGCCCTTACTAGTTTCTGCCATTCCGCCAGCATTTAAAAAAACTAATATTTTTTCTCAGTGATAATACTGTGTATGGGTAGGGCAGTGTCTAACTATTTCTCCTAATCAAAAACTTCATATTTTCAATTTCTAATAAAATTATTGGAGAGACAAATTTGAAGGGGGCACAAGCTTTTTATGTTTTACCAAAAGGGGGCATACATTTTAAAAATTTGACAAATACCAGTGTATGTGTTAACTGCTGTTATGATAGTAATTATGGTTGCTTCCCTTGTTCTTAAAGAACTGTTACTGTTATTGTTCTTAAATTTGTAAACCGCCCAAAGTAGACCTTTGGTCTAGATGGGTGGGATAGAAATTAATTAATTAATTAATTAAACAAACAAACAAACAAACAAACAAACAAATGGGTAGGCCTGAGTAATAATAAATCTGTAATATAAGAAACTGAGTAGGCCAGAATTACGGTAGCTATCATGGGCTCAGGAGTCAAGGAAAGCATCTTACATGGGTAATTTATGTTTCTTTGTAAAGTGCAACATTTGTAGATACTGTATTTGATAAGTGTTATTCCTTTTACATGCTTCAAAAAAATTTCCAGACCGGCTTGCAACTGTGACATATGTAATAGTCATTGTGCCATTTGAACATGCCCTTATAGTGCAGCATCAAATGACCTAAATATTGTTTACAGTACATAGAATTGATTTCATTGATACATATACTTGAGTGAAAAAGAACCCAATTATTTCAATCTGTATTTTGCATTTGTATACTGCAGCTGAAAGACAGGAACTTCCTGAAGCTACTGATTAGATACCTAAGATTTGTATTCAGATCTATTAGTTATCTAAGGAAGAAATTATCTGTGAATTAGATGTACACATGATTTTGTTTGGCATAATTTTTCATAACTTGCATATAAAAGATATTGGAATTCAATGTGTGTTTCCAATGAATGTGTGTTTCCAATGAATGTAAGATTTTGATATAGAGAGTGTCACATACAGCACTGATGGTACCTGTCTGTCATGGGTTTGGAGGGAAAGTTCCATCCTATGGGGAGTGGAAGGCGGGACATCAGGGGGGAGGAGCTGTACTGTATATATATGTGGAGCTTGTGTGGAGAGTTAGGAGTTGGAGTCTGTGTGTCAGACTGGGTACAACTGTTTGTCAGTTAGTACATACCTGATAGGTTCAGGTTTCTATTTAGGTAGCCAGAACTGATAGGTTCAGGGTCTGTGCGTTACCTTAAAGGGTTCAGTGGGAACCAAGCTGTTGTATGTGTGTGTTTGGGGCTATGCCACGTTACAGTATCTTATTTACCTGATTCTTTTATGTACCCTGTTTGTTGTTTCAATAAACCTTGTTCTTTTGTTTAGTAAAATCCATTCCTGGTCTGTGTGACTCCTTATAGGGAATGGTTGGTGGCAGCATAATTACATGGTGGCATACTCCAGTAGGTCTGGGGTTGCCACAGAGAGGAAAATGGAAGGGAGTAGAAATGAGGAAAGAAAGTAGGAGAGGCCTGTGCTTGCATTCTTTATAGATAATTCTGTTGAAGTTGAATTATAAATTTGTATGACTCAAGTGTAAAAACTTCAGTCTGCAAACTAGCAGGTCAGATATATTATGTCATCACCTCCTGGAAACGGGAAAAATAAAAGCACGGCTAGAATTAAAAAGTACATTGAAAAACATATAATGTTGAGTCTTGTAAAATATCAGCATTGATCTTATGAATTTAAGGGCAAACATCAAGAAATCTACCAGTTATGGAGATTGCCCTCTCTTCTGGGTTGAAAGCATCTCTGTGCATGAAAGCATGGGGTGGTATATAGCTCATATTTCTTCCTTCAATTCAGCAACTAGTGATGAGCATATTGAGGTTCTCCTGTCCTTCTCAGTCCCTTTTATCATTAAACATTGTCTAGTAGTGCTTGAAAAGGTGCTTGTGTCCACAAGTATAGCCTTACTCTTCTGAATCCAAAATGATTTGAGCAGGGATGGTTGGATGGGACAGAAGAATATTGTGACCTGAGAACTGACTAATGCAGGACTATGCTGGGAAAGCAAGTAAAAAGGTTGGTGTGCTGGATATCATTAGTATTTTGAAGAATAACTAGAATGTTGGGTGAAAGAAATGGACAAAGAAACAAATAAAGAAGTGTGACGTACACCCGTGCTGGCGATGTTTCTTCTTTCTCTCGCTGCCACCTTTTATCCACAATGTAAATAATGTTACTCTTACACTTGCTGCCAACAACAGAATTAGTTTTATTAAAGGGTATGAAAGGGTAACTCAGAATCACAGATGGTCTTTATTCATTTTCATTAGATCACAATCATTGAAATATTACTTAGTATGTTTCACACTAGATCACTTCTTGTTTACTTATTTTCAGTTTAATCAGTTTATATTTATTAGTAACAATTCTCTATCTCTATCTCTGTCTCTCTGCAAACCTCACTCCTCCTTCTCTCTAACTCTCCAGCTGACTAACTGACAAACCTCTGCCTCTCCTATCCGTCACAATAAGTAACATTGGACTGTAACAAATTCTAGTTTACTTTGAGCCAGCTGTTCCATAGTGTAACCTCCCTCAAATAATTGTGAACTGGATGGCTTGATTTCCCATAAGATTGTGTAAATCTTTTGGCATCTTTCTGGGAGTACTTCTGCTGTCCTTTAGGCTCAATAGAGGGCTTCTCTCAAAGAACTTCACCTCCCAGGAAGCACCACAGGAGATTCCTTTTCTAAAAACAAATCAGCCACAGGAAACAGAAAGGCTGGAGGATCCTAATAATGCAGATAAATCACTCGAAAGCCCTTCTCTACAGTGGACAAAACTGACAGGTGTGCTGGTTTAGGTTTCTAGCAGTAATTTATTAAATTCTTGAAGAATTCTAGGAAATGAAGTGAAAAAATCCAAAATAGCACACCCTTGATAGCTATGATTAAGCCCTCCAAACTACAACTATGATTAAGCCCTGGCATCTTCTTTCTTACAAAAGATAGGAACAGCAGCACTTGATATAATCAAATGAAGGATAAAGAAAGCAGATGATAGGTAAAGCTCTAGAAAAGAGATTTAGTCCAGCAGCTTAGTTGTAAGTTGCAGTCTAGTGCATACTTACTTGGCATGAAGGCCCATTGACAAAATATAACTGGTCAGGTGTAAACAATGAACCATCATGACAACTGATGATCTCTATAATTTTTGTTGTGGGGTGGAGGGAGATATAGTTTTGTGTTATAGATATAACAGTTTTATTCTGCACGGAGCTTTTGTATTTTAATTGTTGAGATGTGTTTTTTTTAAAAAAAAGAAATATTTAACAACAATTAAAAAATAAAAATCATTATCGTAATTTCAGCAAGGATTTGCAAACAGTTGACTTAGTGACCCTGGCACAAATAGTGAAAATACATCTGACTATGGTAAATGTAGCTGTTTTTCATCATTCATTCGAACATACTGAAGTTTAGTTGTCTGTTTGGAGTACTTTCCTCAGCTTTTTAATATCTGATGGGCCTTCCATCTTCTTTCTTAAATAATTCTTAAATAAATATGTAAAAGTGGTGAAACACGTTGTCTGAAAGTGAGTGGGATAACTCCAGACAGGCTGCTGCCTAGGCTCCTTAGCCCCTGCAGTTATCACAGTGAATGTTAACAGTCACTTCTCTATGCTTTTTTGCACTCTTCCTCCACTCTCTTCCCTCCCCATGTTGCTTTCTACCATGCCACTGATCATTTAGTTCAGGGGAAGGCAAAGGGGAATGAGGTGCTTCCTATATATGTCTAGCCCAGTGATTCTCAAACTGGGATCCCCAGATGTTTTTGGACTGCAATTCCCAGAAGCCTTCAGCACTTGCTGTGCTGGCCAGGATTTCTGGGAGCTGCAGTCCAAGAACATCTGGGGACTTCAGTTTGAGAACCACTGGCCAACCCATTTTTTGAACTTCCTTTTAAAAGCAACAGTCCTGGCTTTGCCTAGAGACACGATAGCTGCTTTGAGAAGCTGGTGGTTTGGTTTTTTATTTATATAGAGAGCTTCATCAGAAATGACAAGAACCACACACATGGTTGTCGTGTCCAGATGAAGTGGAGGTTCAGCAAGGAGCAAGGAAAAGCAATCTGGCAATCTTTGTGAGTGGAGTGGTGTGATTTGCATCTCCCTGCCTCAGCCTTCCATTTGAAGCAACTTCTTCACTCTGCCTAATGGCGGTGCTGTCCTGACTGGAGGTGTCTACACAGATAACAAGAGAATGTATGCTAATATCTATATTACAAACTAGAATGGAGAATGGTGATCTAGATCAAAACTGAGACCAGCAGAAATGTTGGCTTTGTGAGGAAGTCATGACAAGCACTCTTGGTGGGCTGTCTGCACCCCCAACATAGTCCCTGTATGGTAACTTACTTACAAGCCACATCTTCAGCTGCAGACATTCTCTGTGTGTTTATCTGCCCACTTACTCATACATGCAGAGATTTACAACAGGGTGTGTTCACACTTAGGATTTAGGTGAATACTTTTAAGTGCTGCTGTGTACACTGAAATGGTCTTCAATCTCCTATTAAGTTATTTGCAGAGAACACAATTAAGATTTTCTATTCTTATATGCTTTAAAGTAAAAATAACCTCTTTTTTTTAACCTTTCAGGTAAATCAGAACATCCCCACTGTCCAGAAACAGAGGTAAGAGCAACCTATTGATGTTTCTTCTCTTCCTTCCTTATTTTATATTGAGAATTCCAGGGTAATTTTCTATGGTTTTCTAAAAGCTTTTATTAATTATAGTAGTGCCAGAGAAAGCCTTTTGCCACAGGGAAAATATGTTATTTAAAGACAGCAGTACAGTATGTTAGCACGCAGTTTCTGAATAAAGAATAGAAAAAGGTTTCAGAAGCATAAAAAGAGCCCATCTGAATCAGAGCAAAGGTCTATTGAAGCAGTGGGTCAGCTCTCAGAATGGCATGGGCAAGCAGGAGAAGGATTTCCAATATACTTTTTATGATGGCAGCAGATTTGAAGAGGAAAATATATATCTCTGTGTATAAATATTAAGACCTGAGTAACAGTTCAGTTCTACTTATAGAAATATGAACAACAAGCATGGCTGCCCTGTCATGTTTTGTTTTATTAATCTACAGATATAGGCTGTAGTCTTAAACACATTCACTAGAAAGCCCACTGAATATAATAGGATTTACTTTTGAGCAAATATGTCTAGTTTTGCACTGTTGATGAACACTTGTAGGTCTAAAATAGATAGGTAATACATTGATATGATTATTAGTAAATAGAATTAAGACAAATTTTAGATTTATTTTTGTCTTCATCATATTCAAAATATTAAAATGTCCTTATTACAGATTGCCAGAGATAATTGGGGTTGACTTCTGTTCCTTATTTTGTGCAAAAGGTTTCTTATTTAGTATCACCTGTTAACCTTTTCACTTAAGGAACAGGCGATAAGCCAGCATAAAATGGAAGCAAAATTAAGTTTTGTGTAATGATTAAAGTATATATTTAATAAAACTATATATTTTTATTTAAATTTAATATACTCATAAAATGAGAAGCAAAATTAAGTTTTGTGTAATTATTAAAGTATATCTTTAATAAAACTAATAAAACTATTTTTATTTAAATTTAATACACAAGACGATGTTAATACGTTCCGTGGAAATCGCTGTCTTGCGAAAAGAAGCAAAATTAAGTTTTGTGTAATTATTAAAGTATATCTTTAATAAAACTAATAAAACTATTTTTATTTAAATTTAATACACAAGACGATGTTAATACGTTCCGTGGAAATCGCTGTCTTGCGAAAACATAGTCTTGCAAAACCGAATTTCCATAAGAATGCATTGAAAATTAATGCGTTCCTAGGGGAATTTTTTTAAAAAAAAAGGAAATTAAGGGGTAGGGAGCTGGGAAGCACCATGGGAGGACTGGCGGGGGGTCCCCTCCCCGCGATCACCAGCTTTGGAGGTCCCCCACCAGTCCTCTGATGGTGCAGGAAAAGCCTCTGAAGTGCTCTAAAGTGGGTGCGGGTGGTTTCAGGGCATCCTTGCCGGGGCTCTGATGGTGCATGGGAAGCCATCAGACCCCTGGCGGGGGTGCCCCGAAACCACCCGCGCCCACTTTAGAGCACTTTGGAGGCTTTTCCTGATGGTGCAGGAAAAACATCGTACAACGAAAAAGCCCCATTGGGATCGCAAAAAAGCCCCAAAGCGACTGCAAAAAACCAATCGTAAAGCGATTTCATCGTCAAGCGGGGCAACCGTCTTGCGAGGCACCACTGTATTTAAATGGCCCATGGATGGATCATAAACTCCCATGAATGGTCTTTGCTGTTCCAGGGTCTAATAGCCGTGCCCCGCTTTACGATTGCCACGTTTGACGATGAATCCGCTTGACGAGGTTTTTGTGATCCCTTTTGCGATTGCAAAACGATGGTTTGAATGGGGTTTTTCCGCTTTGCGATGATCGTTTCCCTGCTTCGGGAACCGATTTTTGCTTTACGATGATCAAAAACAGCTGATTGTTGAGTTTCAAAATGGCCACCAGCTGAAAAAAATGCCCGCCCCGCTGTGCTTAGGGACGGATTCCTCGCTGCACAGGCACTGAAAATGGCCGCCCCTATGGAGGATCTTCGCTGGACGGTGAGTTTTCAGCCCATTGGAACGCATTGAACGGGGTTCCAGTGCATTTCAATCGCCTTTTTTATTTCGCTTTACGACGTTTTCACTCTACAGCGATTTCGCTAGAACAAATTAACGTTGTAAAGCGAGGCACCACTGTATAGATTTAGAATACCTATGTAAGAAGAATTTCCATGAAGAATTGAAGCAAATAGGCAGTCTGTTTTAAAGAACTAAAGTACGGAATGACCCTGTCTCCTCGGGTAAGCCTCAGCAGCTTTAAACATTTTCAGGATACATTCACTAGAATCTGCTGCTGTCAGGTTGCAAAACTTCCTTTTGCTGTAAGTAAGGTAGGTTGGCCCCGTGCCTACTGCCATTTTGTCAGGTAGCAAAGGACGTTGTAAAGCGAGGCACCACTGTATAGGCTTAGAATACTTTTGTAAGAAGAATTTCCATGAAGAAATGAAGCAAATAGGCAGTATGTTTTAAAGAACTAAAGTATGGAATGACCCTGTCTCCTTGGGTAAGCCTCACCAGTTGTAAACATTTTCAGGATACATTCACTAGAATCTGCTGCTGTCAGGTTGCAAAACTTCCTTTTGCTGTAAGTAAGGTAGGTTGGCCCCGTACCTACTGCCATTTTGTCAGGTAGCAAAGACCATTTTCTTTCAGATAGGCCTTTGGCAACTGAATGGAGTGAAGAGAAAGGAGACTTTAAATGATAGAGCACATATCTCTCTGATGTGTTTGTAATGTTTTAAAATTTTTAAATAAGTTATATACTAACAGTATGTAATTGTATTTTAATATTGTAGCTTGTTGTATTCTTAGTTGCATTGATTTTGAAATAATATTTAAGCCTTCTCTTTTTCCTGGATTGGGAAAGGGAAACAGACAGAATACATATGATATGAAATGGAATAAAATAATAATGTTATGTCCATGTTTCCGATTCAAAGTAAGTAAGTAAGTTTCAAAGAGAAAGATGATTTTGAAACATTCTTCAAAAGGGTAAAAAATATTCTAGTAACTGCTAGTGTGACCACTGTTGATGGTCTCTCAATAATGGTGTAGAAGCCTATTCTGTATGTTACCAGCAATAAGACAATGAAATGTATGCTGTTGTGTACGGTCACTCTCTTGAAATTAGAAAAAAGTGGCGGCCAAATGCAGCAAGGAAAATTATTAAGACAATGGCAGGAGCAATAATGGTATTTGTGAAACTCCCACATCAGTCTTTTTGTCTTGAAGCCACTTATAGAGTCAAGCAGTAAGAGTCAGTTCATTTAGTCATGTACACATTACTGTCTACATGATGCACATCTGTTTAATGAGATATGGAGATGTAGGGCAAAGTACCGTATTTTTTGCTTCATAAGACGCACTTCCCCCCCTGTGCGTGAAGTCTGTGCGTCTTATGGAGCGCAGGTGGCTATTTCGCCCCCCACTGGCCCCGTGGGGGGATGGGGGAAGCCTCCAAAGGGTCCTAGGGTTCCAGGACCCTGTGGAGGCTCACCCTGCCCCCCCTGGTCCAGAGGGGACGAAATTGCCACCTTCTGGGATTCTTTTGAGGGTTGGGAAGCTTCAGAAGAATCCCCTAAGGTGCCAATTTTGCTCCCTCTGGCCCCATGGGGGTCAGGGTGAGCATCCAAAGGGTCCTGGAACCCTAGGACCCTTTGGAGGCTTCCCCCATCCCCCCACGGGGCCAGAGGGTGCTAGGGTGTGTTCCATAAGATGGACCTCTCCATAAGGCTCACCAAATTTTTAGGAGAAGAAAACAGATTATTTTTTCCCTGTTTTCTTCTCCTAAAAATTTGGTGCGCCTTATGGAGAGGTGTGTCTTATGGAGCGAAAAGTATATCCTAAAATAAATCAGAATTGAACAAATTAATGAAGACTTTCCCTTATTTTTCTTTAAATCCCCAAAACTGAAATGTTAGAACATGAGTTACACATCCATGTGAGGGGAATGCTTTGTCCCCAGCAGGCTGTCTCCTTCAGAACTGCTTTCTGGACCTGATGGAGACCTCAGCAGCAGAGTGACCTGAGAGTGTAGAAGGCAAGAGCAGGGCCCCAAGTGGGAGTGAGGAGGCAGCTGTACCTGGAGGATGGGACGGAGGCCAGGATGGTTAGGTGGGACCTGGACTTAAATGGAAGGAGGAGGAAGAAGGGAGGGAACTCATCTCTCTCAGCAGAAGGGGAGAACTGGGTGGAGGTCTTGGAGAAGCCCTCTCCCATATTCTGTGCCCTCATGAAGGACCAGCAACTGCTGCTTCAGGACCTTTAGACAGGCGAGAGGGCCTGCTTCTCTGAGGGTAAAGGATCCATCCAACCTGGGCTCCCACAACAATGACACAGCCTCAATAAGAAATCTGGAGGAAGGATGAACTTCTGGCACTTAGGAGACCTACATCACCCCAGTGCTACCAGTCTTCCCTAAAGGGTATTGGCTGGCTGTGGTCAGTTTTGTGAAATAGACCCCAGCTCCAGACTGGAAATCCTGGGGGCCCAGTGAAAAGAACTTGGGCACAGCCAAGGACCGAGAGCAGTGGGTAGCTAGTAGGGTTAACTGAGCCCCCTGGACTGCCAGGATGAGAAGAGCCTGATATCCCACTGATCCTTGTGTCTATACCCCACTCTAATAAAGATCAGTCTAGCAGTAATAAGTAGTATACCCCATCCACTTCTTAAAGCAGTCCATACCAGGAGGGAGAATGGCTTTTATTTAATAGTACTTCTGATCTGACTTTATAGTTTGCTACATTTCATATCTAACCATGTCAAGCCTGGTCATTTTCCTTCATGTACATTCAGATGTAACCTGGTATTCAAGAGAGAGAAGGAAAGCTTCCAACATTTGACACATTTACAGTGTAACTATAAATGGGCTGCCATTGTGTGACTTAATATGCCAGGGTATGCAGTGAGCATCATACATCTGTAGTCCTTTTCTCCCACCTTAGAGCTAGTGAAGAAACAAGTCAGGAAGACTTGGTTGGCTATAGCTTCCCATTATGCGGAAAATAGGGCACTGTTATTAACAGC